GGAGGCCGTGAAACACCGTAACAGTGGTGAGCGGCAGAGTCACTCCCTTGGTTTGAGAGGAAGCACGCTTGCTTTAACCACGGTATCAACCAAGCTGCTGTTTCGGTTCTGCTGTCCCTAACTTAAAGGATACTGCCAGAGGCTTCTTAGTGACTTCTGGGACATGTGTTAGACATATAGCTTTCATTGATTGGTTTGAGGGGAAGTGCAATGAGTAATCTACCGCTTCGCATGAAGGCCGATGCAACGGTGATACCAGTACAGTTTGGTGCTTTGTAGATACTGGCTTTTCAGAATTGGGTTTGGGTATCCGCGGGTCATTGCAGGCTAAATGGGAGCCAAAACCCTGCACCGCGTCTGTAGCTCATTAAGTATTACGGTAATCACAGGAATTTATAGGAACGGCTGCATGGAACTTGCATGAAATTCGTTGCTCTCGTGACGCTTTAATGCTATTCGGGAACTACGTAACAAGTAGTGTTGCGTAACCTACTTTCTTATGTTCATCAGCAGCACAACTATACACGTTAGCTAAAAGTGTAAAATACCACAGCTACTGTGCCGCAATACATAAAAGAAAAAAACATGCCAACGTTGCATGCTAGCTGATCTACCAGCACGGGATTGGGACCGTTTCGAAAAGCCATCAGCCACCTACTAGGCAACAACAAATTATTACGTAAACTAGTAATATGCTTGAAATATTAGTTGGAGTGATGGCTAAAAGGGATGTGGGGGTAAAATGTACCTACAGCAGGAACGCTACTGAGGCCTAGCTTCTAGCAATGTCCGCAAATATATGTAGCCACACATGCTCATATTCTTTTGGAACCGAAACCGGAAAATTTGTTGTTCCAACCAAGGCCAACATTCATGCAATGGCCTTATTTCTCTCGAGGAAGTCATCGCATGGACACCCTTTTTTTTCTTCCATCTACGCTCCCGGCATGCAAACAACTCACGTCGCGGGAGACAGTTGGCAAGCTTGCGTAACTCGGAGCTGCACCACCAGAGCCCGGCGAGTAAAATACCGAGGCTGAGTGGTTTATGTTGTGCCGGTGATGTAAGCAAGATTTTAATCACGCGCGTTGCTCAAGCGGCGCTTCCACCAGATGTGCGTTAAACTGCGAAGGCCTCGTGTTACGATCGTAACTAGCCTGTTTACTTTGCTGATCTAAGCGACCAAGTTTTACAACGGTAAAGTAAATACTAACATACCGCTGCATTGCAAAATGTACCCTACAGGGCGAGAGGGATATCGAGCCGGCGTCATAGGAAGCAAAGTTTATCAAAAGCACCCAGAGATTTTGCTATACATTTGGTGGTGTTACCTTTGATCCCAAAAATACTAATAAATCTTCGTTGGAGGATGAATTTCTGAACGACTTCTGGCCGATCCCAAACAATCGTCAGTGCAGGAGCGATTACTGCCAAGCTTGGAGGGAAGCAGTGCGCTTCAGTGATGCAGCGCAAATCCCTAAGCTACTGACAGCCAGTATTACTCTGTCCATTGCAGGTTGGAAAGTCTGGGCACCGTCAAAACTGAGGGCACCATCGTCCGCCTAATTTAAGCCCAGGAGTCGCGCTCTCAACGGTAGCTTCACACCTTAGCCGTTTCTTTGGAAGATGCTCATCAACAGTTCATCCATAGCGAACTCGAAGAGAAAAATGACAGCGGACATCCTTGTCTCCCACCGTTTAATTTATTGCACAGCGACGACGGCTTGCCATTAACCTTCTCTCTACCCATGCTACTCGCATATCTTGCGCAAAATAAGTTACAGATATTTCTCTGGCACAACATCCTTGAGTAGACACTCTCAAAATGCACATCGGTCAACCGAAGCGAAGGCACATTTGACGTCGAGGAACAGGATGACGCTGGACCGCCGATATGTATGCCGGTGCTCTAACAACCAACGCTACTTGGTCGATGCAAACGCGACCCCAACGGAACGCGGCTTGCTCCTCACCAACATGGCGCACAATGGTTCCGGTCAGTTTGTGAAGGATTACAAAATCAAGGAAGTTGCAAGCGATGGGATCAGACTGATTCCTTCATGGCTTCCGCATTCTGAATGTGCGCCACCTTTGAAGATCGGAACCAAAACTTAGTAGCTACCGTCCGTTGGGCAAACTCCTGCTCCCATAACTTTACTATTGTTTCTTGTATAGCATCAACAATAGCAGAGCCACGGAAAGTAAACGGCGCTGGGTTTAAAGGCATTTGGCCCCGCGGCCTTGTTTACCTTCAATAATCTGATCTCACGTTTGTCTACTGAGCAAGTAGGCGGATTCTAACAGACAGCCCAAGGCGCAGAGCGATTACTAGCCTGTGAGGAAGCTACCAATTTTGACCGTTTAAACAGCTTTTTTAAAACGCTCAGCCATAATCTTTAGAAGATTTGACAAGTTCTTGACCCCCAGTCCACTCCCGTAATAAATTGTTTCACTAACAATAAGCCTCCCACGGCCCATTTTTCGTATCAGAAGAAATAACTTTTGATGGTTAACAAAGACAGCTGCCAATTCTGTATATGACCCTCAAAGCGAGCACCAGGATTTGCGGCCCCCCTTCAGGCCAACACGGTGTTTTGCTTGGAGCTCTATGCGAGTTCCATGGTGTTGGTTTCCGGCCGGTATTTGCGTGCGAGCATCCAGAGGTTACAGAGACCTCGAAGGGACCCAGTGTCTACGTTGGCTGTTATACTTCTCACAGTAGGCTGTACATGCTGCTATTAAGGGCTTGTTGACATGCGACCAGTAATCTTCCATTCACTACAGTGAGCGCTTACTTAACCTGCGTGTCCATGTAGTTTGCTACCCATAAAAATGGCTGGCTGCGCCAAATGACGGTAGCCAATGCGCTGACAGATTCCTCATAGGCTTTCGCCAAAACGCATTGGCAGGTCAGCACATACAAGTGCACGATCGTGGTCCTCACACTTGCTTCAAGTCAAGCGACGGCTCTGTACGCAACCTTTTCTATACCACATGATTATACTGTGATCGGTGTTCGTTCAAGGTTGGTTCGACGGCGGTGGGCCCATGTCACCCCACTACGCATACTGTTTCGGAAGTCAATGCCCGCAAGAACAAAGCAGTCAGCTTCCCATAAATGAAGTAACGGCTAACCGTTATCTTTACAATAACTTGCACCGTACTTGCTGCTCGGTTGCAGTTAATCAATGGATAGTTTTCCATCTTGAGCCTTTAGATCCCCGCCAGTGAACAGCGTCCGTGCTGCTTCTGTGATGAAGAGGCTGGGTCAGTTAGTGGGTAGTCGACTTTTACCAAATCATCGCCAGTGATTTGTTGCGTAGACAGCAGTGACGAATAAAAACTACAAGTCCCGCCAGACTTCAAATGTTTGAACCAGCCAGCCAATCGGACTGCACGTATCCAGCTACTGATTTGGCTCCAAACAACCAGAGCAGCTTTAGCCCGGAGACGCAGGGCGATACCAAACCCAGCTCGGCCGATAGTCGAAGCTGTATCGGCACCGGAAAACGCAGTAAGAAACTACGGCTGTCGTCAACTGAAGGGAATCACACAGTGAGCACAGAGCTCTAGCCTTGCAGACAAGTCTCCGATAAGCAGCAGATATAGATGGATGGGGCCTCTAATGTTCGCGCAAGTGGTACCTGTTGACCGACCTGTAGTGGTGTGCGTAAAGTTTGGTATCTGTAATTTCTTAGAATGGTGTGCAATGAGCCAATCGGCCAGTTGTGCGGCTACTGTGAGAGAAGGTACTTTAGTAGACGTGAAACGTACAATAACTAACAGGTGCTGCAACCATAGTTCTAGAGGTATGATGCCATGCTTTGAGTACAAACCGAGGCGTCTCTTCATTCCCCCTAATAAGGCTGATGGCCTATTATCTTCGAGATGCAAGCCATGCAATAACTAGTTGATTCGTGCTTTTAATAGTTGCTTCAGTCGGGTCACGATCTCCGGCTTATGAGAAAAAAGCAAGGTCCGCATTTAGACTGGAAGAGGTCACTCGGAGCTGTAAAGCAAACACCCAAAGGAGCTGCCCAGTAAATGGCTATATTGAGATTAGTCGGAAGGCAAACTATGACGTCAAAACTCATACTCCTACAAGACAAACCAATACATAGGGTTGTTAAATACCATAAGGCGACGAATAGCGATGCGACACTACTGGATGAACCTAGATGTTTAGTATCTGAGTCAGCCATAGAATAACACAACATCATAGCTGCAAAGTGCATGTTCAAAGGTACAATGAACGAGATCAGCAAAACTAATTTCAGCGTTAGGGGAAAGGTGGTCTCAGTTGGGGTAACCAATCTTCGTGTGCCACTCGTAGGCTAATCGCAAGTGGTGGCACGCAAAGAGTTGCCGAGTAAGCAATTAAGGCAAAGGGTTAAGTTATCTGGACCCAAGGTGTACTGACGAAAGTTATAAAGCATGGAAAGCGGGTAGACGGAAGCC